CCATTGATCTGGTAAATTGAACAATTTTTCAGCATCGGGTGAAATACTATGAGTGAATGATAAATAAGTTGTAATTATATATCTATGCATAAATATGAGATTATTAATTTGCTTATTAAAAGCGTACGATACGCAATTGCTCATCAGTGTCATAGGAGCCGCGAGCAGCACGTGCTCGAATAGTTCTAGCTGGTCTATCTTCTGTTTCAAAATAACTTAAACATGGTACTTGACCAATACCAGATCGTTTTAAATTACATATTTCTGGTGAATCATATCTCGACAAGAAAGAAAATTTTTTGTTTTCATTGCATATTATTTATTCTGAACATACTGTTGCATTTTGTTGAATTTCCGGTATCCATTCTTCACCTTTATTAATAAGATCTGATGGTAATGGAAACCATGGTTGAATTTGAGTATGTCCTTGTGGATCATAGAACCAACTGAATGGAAATGGACCTACATCACTCATTGGATCTGTTCTGTACCAACAGTTATTCTTCAAAAAAAATCTTCTTGGGAAAAGGAAAATGAAAAAATTTGTCGATTTACTTTTGTCCGTTCAGGATAATCAGGATTGAAATTAAACATTGCATAACCTTGTGAAGCTGGCTGAAATAGATGACTTCATAGTTAATCGTTTTTCTCCTAAGGAATTAATTGTTTACTTACTGAATCAGGTTCAGCACCTTTGGGTTTATATTGAATCATGTAAGTTTCTTTTTGTTTCGCTCGCCATCCTTGAATATCAAACCGAGCTCTTAAATTATCATAATCATACAATAAATATTGAAGGCCTTGTGTTATTGGCAATTGATATAATCCACTTATATTTAATGTTGTTTGAAATTGTTTAGGAAAACCTCGTTGACTTAGACATTGATTAATAAAGAGGACTAACAGAATCGAGAATAGCGCTTGTTTTATGGTTTTTTCTTTATGGGGAATAGTGTAAGAAAAATAGCAAGAAAGCAATAAGTTTTATATACAGATGCTTGCTCTGCCATCGTTAACAAAGATATCATGTTACAATTTCAATCATACTATTATATACAGATTGAGTCTGATTAAAATGGAACCACGTAATTTCTTTGTTCTTTTATAAAACGTTATCAATTGTCAATTTTGCATGTCATAAAGTATGATATATATTTTCATTCGAATGAAAAACATTCATGATGACCTATGTAAAAAAATTGACTAGTATTGTGATAATCGAATATATTTTCATTGTGATCAACATAAGGTATTAAGTCGAATTTTAGGGATGTGATTGTGGGTGTAAGAAAATCCACACCCACCCCACACCCCAACTTCACACACAGCCACCACTCCACACCCATCCACCTAGGGATGTGCAGTTTACTGATCATCGACGTCACCGACAGTGGAGTGCACTGGAGTACTGACTACACTGATACCGTGTACACTGGAACACCAACTTTTACTGATATAGATATGTTTGCTATATCAGTAAAAGTCGGTATTCCAGTGTATACTGTATCAGTGTAGTCAGTACTCCAGTGTACTCACTGCCAGTAAATAACTGTCAGATTTTCAGTATTTTCATTGAAACTGCACATCCCTACACTCACCCACACCCACACTCTCAACATGCATAAAAAAAACAAGGGAACTAAAATGAAAACAATAAGTTTTAAGGAAAAACCAAATTCTATCTTTCCTCATGTATAAGAAAATCTCGTTAGATGACTTAGGATCTTAAGTCTTCTTTCATAGAAGGAAGTTTATATAGCTGTTTTAAAAAATAAAAGTTTCGAAAAATACGACTTTTTACAATAATCGAACTTAATAACACTCAAAATTTACTGAAACTTCTACAAAGATACATGATATAAAACAGAAAATTAGATGTTTTTTAATAAAAACTTCAATGAGTATTGTAAATTGAAAATCACACCATTTTGACTCACACCTTTCAACTTTTTTGAGGTATATAAACGAACACAGATTTAATATACTATCTGTAGATAACAAAATTGTATGCATACATCATCAGAAAAAAAGAAAACTTTGAAGGAAAATATCTTAAATTTATATTTTTTAGGCGATCAATTTATTTGTAATGTAAAATAAAAGCACATAAAAAGTTGTCTTCAATTTGCTTGAATGAATCATCATTATTTGACCTTGATTTTGTTGTGCTGTAATATGTTTTGTGATTCTCTTATAAAAATAAATGCATAAAAGTAATTTTCACTATTTTCTTTCTACTCTGTTGGTAATCGAACACGTATGCTTCCACTTTCAATAGGCTTCCTCACACATGAATTACGAATGAATATAATAAATCATGACCTAGTATTTACCTATTTTAAAATATTTTGTGTTTAGTAGAATAAAACGAAAAAGAAAAAGAATTGTTTCAAATTTCTGTCAAAACAAGATTGAAAGAACATTGACCGTTGATCAATATATTTAATTCATATATCAGTACATACAGCAGTTTCTTTTTTTGCTAGGTGTAAGTATTATTCCCAGGGCAAACAATCAGACACTAAGATC